AAAATTAAAGGTAAAATATGTATATTTTAGGATGGCCAAATTTGAGGCAATCTTTTACCAGCAAATCTACACTTCAGGAAATATTTTAAAAAGCTTTTTTAGGCTAAAAGAAAAACAAAAAATACTTGGGGGAATTGTAGATCAACGTATAAGAATAAAAGCCACATAAACAAGAAAATGTGGGTATAAAAATGAATGCAAAAATTTAAAAATACATAAAATTTTTTTTAGTTTTTAATTTAAAATAATCTATAAATGCAAATATTAACCACATGTATTTTTGAGTTGATAACCTATAGGCAATTAAAACATTTGAAAAACAGCACAAATTTTGAGAAAAGGGTAATGGAAATTACTGTAAAAAGCTCCTTGACTTTTACATGAAGTGGCGTAATAAAATTTTAAAGTAGATTATAATAAATTCATTGTACATTTGTAAATTTTAAATCAATGACTGAACACACACACACACACACACACACACACACACACACACAAGCAAACAAAGAGTTTTATCTATTAACCAACCAACCAGGTAAAATGGAAAGCAAACAACCAAAAACTTTAAGTAAAGTTTATCCAAGATAACGCACAAGAGTAAGAGAAAAGAAACAAAGAACTAGTGGGATACATAGATAATACATATAATTTAAGTCTGGGACTTAAATCCAAATATTCCAAAGTTATATTAACTATAAACATCTAAACATTCCAAATATAAATCTAGTCAGACTGGATAAAAAAGAATGACTCAACTATTTGAAGCCTACAAGAAAAACTCTCTTTAAATAAAAATATTTATGTAAGTTGAAAGTTAAGTGATTAAATTTAAAAAAAATGGATCTTACAAAAAGATGGTTATACCAAGATTAAACCAAAAAATTTCAGAACAAGAACTATTTCCAAGGATAATAATGGGTAATTCATAATGTAATCAACAAATGAGAAGCTCACTGAAATTTGAAATATATGCAGCTAATAATAGAGATATAAAATGCCTAAAACAAAATCTCATAGAATTAAAAAAGCAAATAGAAAGAAAGAAATTCACAATTATAGTTAAAGACTCAATACATTTTCATCAGTAATTTATAAAACAAGAAGAAAATCTTTAAAGATACAGATATAAAACACCATCTATGTCTATCAAAGACTATCAACCAGCTTGACTTAATACAGCACACTAAAAGTCAAAACAAAAGAATCATTTTTTAATGATATGCATGGAAGATTCACTAAGACAGACTTGATACTGGTCTGAAAATATTTCTCTCTAAACATAGAAAATGCAAAATCACAAAGAGTGTGAATGCACTGATGATACTAGAATATATATTAAAAATCAATAGCAAAAACACCTGGAAAAAAATCAACAAATATTTAAAAATTAAGTACATACTTCAAAGACATCCATGAAACAAAAAAATATATCTTAAAAAATAGAAAATATTTTGAATTAAATTATGTTAAAATAATACATAACATTTCTCGGATGCAGCAAAGTCAGTGCCTAAAGAAAAAAATATACTTATAAATACTTACACTAGAGGAAAGAGGCTCAAATCAGTGGTATAACTTTCCATTTTAAGAAACTAGAAGAGTATGTTTATTAGAAATTAAGTAAAAGAAAGAAAATGATAATGATAAAAGCAGGAATTAATAAAATGGCAAAGTGATAACAAATTGAAAAATATATAAAATCAATAGTTGTCTCATGCAAATACTAATAAAATTATAAATCTCCAGCTATATTAGCAAAAACACAGGAGAGAAAACACAAATTACTAATAGCAGAAGTGAAAGAGGAGTTATTACTATGTAAACATAAAAAGCATATGAAATAAAAATTATGAACACTAGGTCATATTTCTTGAAAGATATATATTAACAAAACTAAGAGAAGACTTACAAAATTACAGAGGTTGAATATTTACTTTAAAAAATTGATTTTGTAACTAAAACCTTCCCATAAAGAAAACTTCAGGCCCAGATATTTTTACTGAGATCTCTCAAACATTAAAAGGAGAAATTATACCAAACCTACACAATTCTCTTTCAGAAAACAGAAGTATAACTACTTTACAAATTACTTTACGATGCCATTATTGCACTGACATTATAATAAGACATATTACAAGAAAATGAAAGAAATTTCAGATCAATATTCCTCATAAACATACTTCCGCAGTTATGGCCATTTTCACAATATTGATTCTTTCTAACTATGAGCATGGAATGTTTTTTCGTCTGTTTGTGTCCTCTCTTATTTCCTTGAGTAGCGGTTTGTAGTTCTACTTGAAGAGGTCCTTAACATCCCTTGTTAGTTGTATTCCTAGGTATTTTATTCTCTTTATATCAATTATGAATGGGAGTTCACTCATGATTTGGCTCTCTGTTTGTCTGTTATTGGTACATAAGAAACTTGTGATTTTTGCATATTGATTTTGTATCCTGAGAATTTGCTGAAGTTCCTTATGAGCTTAAGGAGATTTTGGGCTGAGACGATGGGCTCTTCTTAATATATAATCATATTGTCTGCAAAAAGAGACAATTTGGCTTCCTCTTTTCCTAATTGAATACCTTTATTTCTTTTTCTTGCCTGATTGCCCTGGCCAGAACTTCCAATACTGTGTTGAATAGGAGTGGCGAGAGAGGGCATCATTGTCTTGTGCCAGTTTTCAAAGAGAATGCTTTCAGTTTTTGCCCACTCAGTGTGATATTGGCTGTGGGTCTGTCATAAATATCTTTTATTATTTTGAGATACGTTCCATCAATACCTAGTTTATTGAGAGTTTTTAGCATAAAGGGCTGTTGAATTTTGTCAAAGGTCTTCTCTGCATCTATTGAGATAATCATGTGGTTTTTGTCTTTGGTTCTGTTTATGTGATGGATTATGTTTACAGATTTGTGTAAGTTGAACCAGCCTTGCATTCCAGGGATGAAGCCTACTGGGTCATGACGGATAAGCTTTTTGATGTGCTGTTGGGTTCAGTTTACCGGTATTTTATTGAAGATTTTCACATCAATGTTCATCATGGATGCTATCCCCATCAAGTTACCATTGATTTCTTCACAGAATTGGAAAAAACCACCTTAAACTTCATATGGGACCAAAAGAGAGCCCATATAGCCAAGACAACCCTAAGCAAAAAGAACAAAGCTGGAGGCATCATGTTATCTGACTTCAAACTCTACTGCAAAGCTACAGTAATCAAAACTAGACCAATGGAACAGAACAGAGGCTTCCAAAGTAAGGCCACACATCTACAACCACCTGATCTTTGGCAAACCTGACAAAAACAACCATTGGGGAAAGGATTCCTTATTTGGCAAATGGTATTGGGAAAACTGGCTAGCCATATGCAGAAAGCTGAAACTGAATCCCTTCCATACACCTTATACAAAAAACTAACACTAGGTGGATTAAAGATTTAAATATAAGATCTAATATCATAAAAACCTCAGAAGAAAACCTAGGCAATCCCATTCAGGACATAGGCATGGACAAGGACTTCATGACTCAAACACCAAAAGCAATGGAAACAAAAGCCAAAATAGACAAATGGGATCTAATTAAACCTAAGAGATTCTGCAAAGCAAAAGAAACTGTCATTAGAGTGAACTGGCAATCAAAAGAATGGGAAAATTTTGCAATCTACCCATCTGACAAAGGGCTAATATCCAGAATCTACAAAGAATTTAAACAAATTTACAAGAAAAAACAAGCAACACCATCAAAAAGTGGGCAAAGGATATGAACAGACACTATCAAAAGAAGATATTTATGCAGCCAACAAACATATGAAAAAATGTTCATCATCATTTGTCATTAGAAAAATGCAAATCAAAACCACATTGAGATACCACATCACACAAGTGAGAATAGCAATCATTAAAAAATCAGGAGACAACAGATGCTAGAGAGGATGTGAAGAAATGGGAACATTTTACACTGTTGGTGGGAATGTAAATTAATTCAATCATTGTGGAACACAGGATGACAATTCCTCAAGGATCTAGAAATAGAAATACCATTTGACCCAGCAATCCCATTACTGGGTATATGCCCAAAAGATTATAAAACATTTAATTATAAAGACACATGCACATGTATGTTTATTGTGGTACTGTTTACAATAGCAAAGACTTGGAACCAACCCAAATGCCTGTCAATGATAGACTGGACAAGGAAAATGTGACACATATACACCATGGAATACTATGCAGCCATAAAAAAGGATAAGTTCCTGTCCTTTGCAGGGACGTGTATGAATCTGGAAAGCATCATTCTCAGCAAACTGACACAAAAACAGAAAACTAAACACTGCACTTTCTCTCTCATAAGTGGGTGTTGAACAATGAGAACACATGGACACAGGGAGGTGAACATCACACACCAGGGGCACTATGGGAAGTATAGCAGGGGGTTGGGGGATTAGGGAGGGCTAACATTAAGAGAAACACCTAATGTAGATAATGGGGGGATGGATGCAGCAAACCATTATGATCTGTGTATACCTTTGTAACAAACCTGCAAGTTCTGCACATGTACCCCAGAACTTAAAGTATAGCAGTAAAAAAACCCTATAATTTAAAAAAATCATACTAGCAAAAAATCCATAATGAAATATTAACGGATTAAACCCAATAATATATAAAAATTATAATATGCTATGACCAAGTATAGTTTTTTTCTCAGCGATGTAAAGTTGATTTAACTTTATACTAACATCTCTACAAGCTGAAAAATTACTTGGCAAAAATTTTACACTTAGTGAGCACAAAGAATTGTGTTGTCAATTCAGACTCATATTGATCAGAAATCTAATACAGCATCAAGCTTAATTAATAACCTCAAGAACATGAGCAATCAAACCAGGAATAGTACCAAAACACAGAGTATAGTTTCACAGATCCCATATTCTCTTTTCAGACATGTGATGTCAGGACTGAGTTGATGGAGTCTCTCTGGAGCATTTTGTTTTTACTTAGGGGGCAAATATTTCATAGGTAAAATATGGAAACCATGAACCAAGAGAGAAAAAAATAGATAAATCAGACTTTATCAAAACTGTTTAAATTCTTATCATTGAAAAGATTATTTCCTCACTGGGTAGAGATAATTTTTCTTATGAATCGTTTTTTTGGTACATTTCTGTTTTATATCACAGGGTTCTGCATGGGCTACAGAATATCCTTCAGGGACAGGTGCCTCATAACAATGCCTTTGATTCTGGGTGTGTCTCATAAGCAGTTCTAAGCCAGGGTCATTCTGTGAAGACTGTTCCACAGCTATGGACTCTCCTCAAGCTGGTATCATTAATCTATTTATGCAAAGGTCCAGTTATCACACATGGATATTGGGCTGAGTCCCCTGTCTTCTGTGATTTCTTCAAATTGGTCCTACAAGAAATCAGGTAAAAAATAGATCACAGCTGAGCTCATGTTTACCTTTGTTCTCTCTAAACCACCATCCATGATAAAACAAACAAACAAACAAAAACTCTCAGGAAACCGTGAGAAAAGAAAATGTCTTCAGGCTATCGAGGGATATACATGAAAAACCTTCAGATGTCAATATCCATGATGATGAAAGGCGGAATCCTTTACCCTTAAGGTCAGGAACAATGCTCGCCTGGCCTTTCTCACCACTCCTGGTCCACATGTCACTGGGAAATCGGTCAAGTGAAATAAAGAAAAGGCACATTGATTGGAGAAGAAAAGTGAAGCTTTCTGTTTCACAGTCAATACGATAATTGCTTTTTTTTTCAACTCTTAGCTAATCCCTACAAAAAACTCCTGGAACTAACAACTGAGTTTAACAAGGTTTCAGAATATTAACAACAACATAAAGGATGAATTGCATTTTTAAATACAAACAATAAACAAATAGAACTTGAAATAAAATATTTGGAATAGCATCAGAAAAAAAGTTAACATTTAGAGAATATTTGCAGAAATATATACAAAAGCTTTACAAGAAAATTAGAAAACATTGCTGCAAAATTTAAGAAGCCCAAAAAAATTACCTTTGGCCCTTAAAAATAAATCGTCATGTATCTTAAACCTAAATGTAAAAGCAAAAATCTATATAACTTCTGGAAGAAAACAGGAGACCAGCTTTTTATTTTTACTTAGAGGGAATGAATATTTCACAGGTAAAATCTGAAAAACATGAATCAAGAAAAAAAATAGAAAAATTTGACTTTATCAAAAATGCCTGAATATTTGATATTCAAAAAACATCATGTAAAAATGAAAATGAAAGCCGCAGAACAGGAAAACATATTCACAATACTGTACTTGATAATGAATTAACAGCCAGAATATAAAGAACTCTTACAACACAATAAGAAAGCAGCAATCCAACTTAAAATTGGGCAAAGGAGGTCAGTCGCGGTGGCTCACTCCTGTAATCCCAGCACTTTGGGAAGCCAAGGCGAGCGGATCACTTGAGGTCAGGAGCTCAGGACCAATTGGCCAGCATGGTGAAACATTATCTCTGCCGAAAACACAAAAATTAGCCAGGTGTGGTGGTGCATGCCTGTAATCCCAGCTACTCAGGAGACTGAGGCAGGAGAATCACTTGAACCCAGGAGGCAGAGGTTGCAGTGAGCTGATATTGCTCCACTGTACTCCAGCTTGGGTGCAGAACAATACAGTGTCTCAAAAAAAAAATAAAAAATAAAAAAATGGGCAAAAGAACTGAACAGATATTCATCAAAGGAGAGAGATTCTCAACTTAATTAGCAAAGAAATGAAAGAAATCACCACATTGAGATTCCACTCACGACCTGCCATAGCCATAGAAGGGCTAAACTTGAAAAGCCTGACAACACAAAGTACCCGTTGGAAACTCTCGTTAATCTCTGTTTACAATGTTAAATGGTGTAACTACTTTGGAAAACACTGTGCCACTGTCTTCTAAAGTAACCTGTACACTTTCTATAAGACGCTGCAATTTTGCTTCTAGATATTTACCAGGAAAAGTTGAAAATGCTCCACCACAAAGACTTGTACGTGCATGTTCCTAATAACTTTATTCATAAAACAAGAGTAGAAATAACCCAAATGCTTATCACCAGGTGAATGAATAAATGAATTGCAGTCCATGTACAAAATACAATAGTAAGAAATAAGAAGAAACACACGCCTGCAATCCCAACACTTTGGGAGGCCGAGGCAAGTGGGTCACTTGAAGTCAGTAGTTCAAGACCACCCTGGCCAACATGGTGAAACACCGTTTCTACTAAAAATACAAAAATTAGTGGGGCGTAGTGGCTCACGCCTTAACCTCAACTACCAGGGAGGTTGAGGAGGGAGAACCACTTGCAACTGAGAGGCAGAGATTACAGTGAGGCAGGATTGCACCACTGCATTCCATGCAATCCAGCCTGGGTGACAGAGGGAGACTTTGTCTCAAAGAAGAAAAACAATGAAAGAGACGCACTATTGGTATAGGCAACACTACACATAAGTCTCAAAAGCATTACTCTGTGCAATAGGAGTCAGACACAAAAGAGTAATGAAATAATTTTATTCACAGGAAATTTCCAACTTCACAAGGCAATCTACGATGACAGAAAGCATTAGCCCTGGATCTTCAATGATTAGCACTTCAGTAGAATCGGTGACTTGGTAGGGTAGAGCACAGTTAAAGACTCCAGATTCACTTGTTTCAGGATATTTTTGTGACTTTGGCTGTGTGCAATATTGCAGTTCATAAAATAAAGCTGGAAAGATAATTCTGAATGAGTTGAAAGAGGATCTTGAATTTAACAATGGCACATGTGTTTATTCTCGAAGTGATTGGCATTATTGGTTTTAGAAGAAGGGAAACACTTTGTGGACGTTTGCAACCAATTTTTTTATATTCACAATCACATTACTGTATTATAACCCATATGAGGAGTCCATTTCTCATAATGTTTTTCATGTTTAATCAATAACAAATATGTCCATTAGTATTTTTCATAGCACCCAAATTGTACTGGTAAAACATCAGAATAAAATTGTAGGAGAGTTTTCAGGAGTGTGTGTAACACAAATACTCATTGACACTAGACATAAGATAGGCCCCAGACCTGACCCAGCCGGTAAGCTAAGATAAAATCAATTGCTTGAGTGAATTTGTGTTAATAATCATATCCCTTATATATTAAAGGGTGTTCAATTAAATGATTGTCATGGTATTTTTTCCCATGAATTAACTTAAACACTAACTCAGTACATTCTATATGCAAGATACTATAGTTAGCCCTGTTTTATAAGACTTGACATTAACTGCTTCATGGAAATAATGTTTGAACTTCTCAGGATATATTACTATTCTTTTCTGAGATAAAATGTGCTCTTTGGGACATGTTCAGTGTATGAAAAATACTTAAATATTCATTAATTTCCTTCTGTCTACGATGTCATAGTAGACAACTTAAACCTCAGTACGATTACGTTGAAAATTTTTTCAGACTAGGAATGTGCATTATCAAAAGAATAAAATAAATGGAGTAGGCAAAATGATCTATTTTCAGAGGTGTAGCAATGGAAAACTCCATTCTTCCCACACTTTACACCAAATATTATAAATATGATTCTCTTTCCTCTTTAAATCAGCCAGGAAGCGTTCTGTCACCATGGCTATTCTCTCTCTATTCCATTTAGATGTCATTCAATTATAAATAGTTAAGGTAAAAATACACAAAAAGAGTTGTTCGACAGCGATTTTAACTCTACATTTATGGGAAGTATAATCACATGCGCATGTAAATATAAATTTAGAAACATCTCTGCCAACATGACCTAAATACATATTAAAGCATCTCATTTCTACATTGTCAACAAGTAATATAGCTTATGAAAAGGTTTTAAACCTTACTGATCTTTCCTTGAAATAAATATGAAGCAAACATTATATTATTAAACTCATTAATTCCAAAAATCATCCTGTCTCTATGGACCATTGCCCTGAAATTCTCCAGCTGTTACCCCAAGGAAGCATATTTGCATAACAAGGTGACACTTAGGAACCCACCACAAAATGTTAGCAGTATTAGTGCAGCCAGCAACATGGCAGCCATTATCTCAGGGTTGGTACATTTTCTGTTGTTGTCGTTCATTCCAGGTAATTTCTCCCTGTGGCGTAATAGAAAAACTCAGTATTTCAATAAACCTGATCTTCTTACCAAATGAAATCCTTTGTTTCTCAAATGGTGCTTACTCAGTGGTTAAACTATAGGAAATTCAGTCTTTAGCAGAAAAATAAACTATGAGAGGATAATTCAAGTTTGATGTTCTCATTGGCTTCTTTGCAATTTCTGAGGAGACCTACTCACCCACTGAGGCACGGCATCAAAATGAGAGCGCTGTGAGGGCAGTCAAGAACCCCACAGCTGAAGAATGGCAGGAGGAGACTCTTATTTCCTAGGTGGGGTATCCCCTTCTTTCTCAATGGCATTCATCAAAACACTGCCTTCTCCAAATTGTGGCTTATCCTTGACCCATCTCTCCTGGTCAGGGCTCACCATCTGGTGTAGCTCATCTATCTTTTTTGTATTGCCTTTAGCTCCTTCTTCCTTTCCTCTATTTTCCTCTCTGTGATTATTTTATACTTAAAACATCATTTTCATTTCTCACTTTTCTGCTAAAATAACTAACGTCAAGTACCAAATGGTCTATAATGTTAGATCTGGCCAATGTAAACCACCCAAAACCCAGGCTTACTAAATCAGTTGTTAGAAATCACACCAATTCATCTCCTTCTGGGCCAAAGTGCTTCCTCAAACTATTTAAATTTATTTTTAGTTCCACAATAAGCTTTTGCACTTAGTTTATATTACTAAATCATATTTGATATTTTAAGAATGTATTAATCTTTTATGTCACACCGTTCAAATTTCTACTAAATAATCAGTAATTCAATGTCAAGAAATATTGCTTGAATAAGTGATCTGATCCTCTGGTTTTTGAATCTAAGTTTTACTGGCTATCAAATCGATTTACTTGCTTTTATGTAAGTCAGGCAGTCACCCGAATGGGCTTCAGTATTTAGGCATGTAAACGTGAGGACTCAGTGGATGCCCTATTGTATCTGGTAATTTTATAAAGTGCTAAAATATAAGACACCCTCTAGTAAAGCCACATAGTACTTATTTGTACCATTATCAGTCATTTAAGGAAGTATCTGTGATATCCAAAACAAGGAATATAGGAAAACATTGCTCATGGGTACTTGTTTATGGATAATTTTTGTTGTTCTCCATACCAAACATAGTGAGACAAAATATTATTATATATACAATATATGACATATCATATATATAGAGAGATGATATATATCATATATGCTATATCATATATATCAGAAGATAGGCTCTGGATCTGCCAACCTTTGTAAATAACTTTAT